CGTAATTAAATCGAGTTCAAAAAAATCTTCTGCGACACATGTATCAAACATGTATCACGCGTGTATCTCACACACATGTATACATGGATATACATGTGATACACAATTGATACAAATATGATACACATGTGATACACAAATGATACATAGTGTGATACACATATCATTTTTTTCATGTTCACCTTTTATTTTGAATTTTCAATTAAAACCACCTCAAAACTTCACCGAATCATCCCAAAACTGAGATTCAAACTCTTTAAGTTGTGCTCAATCTATTCTAATAACACCCACTCAAAACAAAGCAAAAATTTGATATTTTTTTACTACAAATAGCTAATTAGCTAATTTGGCTAATATTAGTAATATTTTATCAATTGGCCAATTTTTGTAATGAACTACTTATAAATGGACATAGCTGGTAATTTTCCTTTTATTTGTGTGCATATTAGGGGTGGCATACGGCTAAAGGTGTTAATCGAACGGGCTGATCCAGGATGGACGTGAAAAAAATAGCCCCGTCAGGTTAGTGGGGCGGGCTGGGTAGTGGGCTGACTCATCGGGCTTGGAATTTTCGGGTTAAATTGGGCCCATTCGGGTTCGGGCTAATCGGGTCCGGACCAGGCGGGGTTATTTACTTTTTTTTTTAGTGGATTATGTTTTTCTTATTCAATGTAATTGATACTTAAGTGTTTACAAACTTGTAATTAAGGAAATAAGTATTTTAAGGCATAAAATTAAACTTTTAAACTTTAAAGTTTAATGTTTTAAATTTGAGATTTGGATTTTAAAATTTTAAAATTGAAAGTAAATGGCTACAAAAAATTATTTAATAAGACAAATATGTAAGGATCAAACTCCGAAGGCTTTCGTTTCATATTTTCATTGAATAATAAATAATACGTCAAATTAATTTGCAAGTTCTATTTTTTTTTATATTTGAACTTGCAAATTAAAAGTTTACAACAATTATAAAAAATAAGAAAGAGCGCATCACATGCTTTGCATCATTTTGTAAGTTCATCCCTGTCAACATGAGGTTCTTGATTTCCGGCATTGCTTGAGTCTGAACCGTAAACCATTATATCTTCAATTTATTAGTCCTCCGTTTCATCTACCTCTTCACACCCTTTTCCGGTTCTGATCTTATCCAATCTCTGAAGCACACTAGAACTTTCAAAGTGTTGCTACCCAAAGAATGACGGATATCTTCTAGCTGCTGCCTTGCATTTCTAAATGCCATCTCTGATGCGTTTGTTGAAATCGGCACATTTAACACGTCTCGGGTCATGGCCGAAAGAACAGAAAATTAATTTGAGTTGCTCATCCACCAACCAAGCGGTAGAAATTCCTTTGTGTGGGGCTCTGGTGACTTTTGCAAGTAGAATTGGAGTTCATCAATATTCCTACTAGTTGATGCTCTCCTAGTGTAGACCAAATTAAATAATCTTCAATACCATCATTATCCTCCAAAGCACCGGATGCAGATGTAGAAACTGAACTTGAAAGAATATTTGCATCTACAGCAGAAGAAGAATCAACAATGTTAGAATAATAATTATACAAAGTTTATAAATATTTGTGTAGATTAGAAATACAAGTTTCAACATCAGGGGGTTCAGTTGGTCCAATATCCATATAAACATATAAAGCAATGATTAATTGGCGACAAGTAGCCACTTTGATATAAGGAAGCACCAATTAGGTAAATAGGGGGAATATGATAGAAATATTTCTTAAATTATCTAGCATAGATTCAACAACAGAACTATATCCTTCTTTCTTCTTGAAATTATGGAGTAAAAGAGAAATTTAAGCTATATGTACTAAACCATTTGCAAAAATATGAAAAATGAAGCAAAAACTCGGAATTCTCAGCACTTAACAGGTCGCAGATATCGCATTTGCGACAGGGGGTTCGCATTATGCGAAGGATTCATTGCATTTGCGAACCTGAAGGATTTCTGCTGAGGTCGCATTTGCGACAAAGACTTCGCAAATGCGAAGACCAGCTTCGCAAATGCGGCTGATCAATCGCAAATGCAAAAAGCTGCCTAGGCGATTCTTCACAAATGCGATGGCCGCATTTGCGACCAGAACATCGCAAATGCGAAGAAACTAGAACCAGAAATCAAAATTCATGATAACCATTCCGAAACAAATTCGAATCTCACCCGAGCCCTCGGGGCTCCAAACTAAACATGCACACAAGTCTAAAAACACAACACGAACTCGTTCGTGCGCTCAAATCATCAAAATAACTTCTAACACCACGAATCAGACGCCAAAATGCATGAAAATCAATCTACACTTCAAGAACTTCTAGAATCGCAACCGAGCGTCCGAACCATATCGAATCAACTCCGAATGGCGCCAAATTTTGGAGACAAGTTCTATATGAGAAAACGAACCTACTCAAAGCTTCAAATCACACATAACAACCTTTGTACAATGAATCACACCTCAAGTCAATATCAATGAACTTTTAAACTTCAACTTCTATAACCGATGCCGAAACCTATCAAATCCTCTCCGATTGACCTCAAATTTTGCACACAAGTCACATTTGCCATTACGGAACTATTCCAACTTCCAGAATCAGAATCGATCCCGATATCAAAAAGTCCACTCCCGGTCAAACTTCCCCAAAAATCCAACTTTCGCCATTTCAAGACTAATCCAACTACGGACCTCCAAATTGCAATCCGGGCGCGCTTCTAAGACCAAAATCACCCAACGGAGCTAACGGAACTGACGAAACTCCATTCCGAGGTCAAATGCTAAAAAGTCAAAGTTGGCCAACTCTTCCAACTTAGAACTCAAATCTTGAAGTTCATTCTTCCAAATAAATTCTGGATAACTTGAAAACCAACATCGACGATTTACGCAAGTCATAATACATCATGCGGAGATACTCGATCCCTCAAAATACCGAGCGAAGTGCACATTCCCAAAACGACCAGTCGGGTCGTTACAGCTAGATTTTTTAAAACATTGTAGTAATTTAAGGAAGCTCAAAGCGAGGTATGTTGGCTAAACTCTTCTCTTAGAATTGAACCCCACTATGTACTTGTAAGTCCCGAATTGTTCATCATAAGTCGATTATTCCAAATAAGCGTTGTGACAAAAGATATATGTTCAATACATGTTTCAAATGTTCTTGTTATGTTATGTTACTATTTGAGAATGTGTTCAAAGTATGGATTGCACATCTAAATGTTATAACTTCAAGTAGTGTTTCAAATGAAAGCTATTATGACAAATTGTGTAGAGACTGTGATTGGGATTACACCTCCACCTGCATACATTGGGGTGAGGCGGCAGGACCGCTTTGTGTAGAGTTGTAGTATTGTAGTTACACTTCCACACGCATACATTGGGGTGAGGCAGCAGGGCCGCTTTGTGTAGAGACTGTGGTACTATGGATACACCTCTACCCGAACATATTGGGTTGAGGCGGCAAGGACGCTTTGTGTAGAGGTTGTGGTATGGTCATTGCACCCCCACCCGCATACATTGGGGTGAGGTGGCAGGGCCACTTTGTGTAAAGGTTGTTACAAAGGATCCCCGACTTAAAATTATAATTGTTATTGGAAGCTCTTCATGAATTTTGCCTTGACTTTAACGGCCATCTAAGCCCCTTTTATTGTTACCATGATTCATCATATTCTTGTTGTATTTCCAAGTCCTTAAATAGGTGTTTTGGTTTTCATACTAGTAATATTCGATATGTACTAACGTCCCTTTTGTCGGGGGCGCTGCATCTTTAAATGGATGCAGGTAGTTCTACAGTTGGAGGCATTGACCAGTGATAGCATTACAATCTCTTTCCAGCTGACTTGGTAAGCCCCACTTTATTTCGGGGTCGTGTATCTTTTGCTCAGTGTGTATTATGTTTTGAGGTATAGCCGGAGCCTTGTTGCCGGCACTATTGTTGTACTCTTTCGTATTTATTAGAGGCTCTGTAGACATGGTGTGGGTTGTGTATTAGTGTTGGAATAATCAAGCTAGTAATATTGTATGTGTATCACATGTTCCACTTCAAACTAAGAAAGTGTATGTATTTTGAGATTTTAAAATAGAGTAACTAATAGTAATGGAGTTGAGGTTATTTATGAAATCATGTCAGTGTTTAATTAATAGAATATATCTCCTCTTTATTCACCGATGAGTTGGGTAGAAAGAAATCTAACATGCTTGCTCGACCGGGTTATCTCGGTTGAGCGTCGGTCGCGCTCCCCGGTGTCGGGGCGTGACAGGGTTGTAGACCGGTAAAACCCGTTAGTGGGTTGCCGGGCTTACCGGGTTCCGAGGCACCGGTTACCAAAAAAGGCCCGCCCCCGTCCGGCTAAACCCTTAACACTCACCAACCTGTCCCACCCCTTAGCGGATCAGGCTGACTCGGGTTGAACAGGGTCGAACCGGATTGTCAGTGGGCTGGCCCGGCCCATTTAACAAGTTTACATACGACATATCAAGATATATTGATTTTTGAGCTAATTAACGGGTTTTATTCTATTCAGAAATGATTTATCAAATAAGAAGCTGTGGTCTATGAATTTTAGCCTTTGAATTCATTTGGTCGAGGATTAATACGTCGTTGATAAAAATTATGGTTTGAGAATTGGTAATTCAGTTATGTTAATAAAAGATATACTACTACTATTTTTCTTTTTGAAAATAAAAAATTTGATTAGGTTGGATATTATTTACTTTACATAAAATATTAGATATCCATATTTTCTTCTTATTCGAACAGATTACAGACCATTTAAAATTTCTGAAATTTAATATAATATAATAGGTAACAATATACATTTTCTAATTAAGATCTCATCCCAGTCAAATTTCTGAAATGCTTCCCATAACTTTTGCAGTAAGAATGGTAGGTAAATATGAATCGGATTTACTTTCTAAATAGTATAATTTACCCAAGTCTAGGTAAAGATACTATAAAAAGCCTGTTGCATCTTTTACCAAACTACACAGTTTGAAAGTTGATATATACTTTCATAATATACTTTCATAAGAATGGCCAAGCTTGTAAACTCTGCTCTTTGTTTCCTTCTGATTATTGCAGGTTTGTATTAGATATTTCTGATTCTTTTTCTTTTTCTTTTTGAGAATTCAGATTGAGCATGAGGCAAATCCGTTAATTTCCTTTTCTGCCTAAACTTACGCTATTCATATTTACAATGATCAGAAGCAAGACAGATCTTTGATTTAAATTTAATTACTTCAACATTTAAGATTCTTAGCACCGAATATGTTACTGTTAAAATGATGGGTTCAAATCTTTATTTTCTAAAATTTAGTGAATCTCACACACACATATATATACACACTCAATATTGTAAATATTGAATTTAGATGAAACTATAGTCAAGAGGTTACATCCGTCCCTAATAATGGTATCTTTACGTTTTCGAGTTATAGTGAACTTTTATTTTTCCAATTACTCATCCTTCAAGTCATATTTTTTAGATTTAGGTTATATTATGAGTTTTAAGTTATATACTTTAATATAAAAAATATTTATATTACTTTTAGTAAAATTTATCAGTAATTGTATATGTTATTATTCTATATTCCAAACTATCATATTCGATTTGATATGGAGAGTCACTTATTGTTTTAGGCCAACTTAACTTGATAATATAAAAATTTAGACTGTTACTGCATAAAGTATAAACGCATATATAGTAAATACCTGGCAAGTTACGTACATATATCTATAGGTAGACTATGTCATGAACTTATGATGAAACAAAATAAAGTTCTTTTCTTCTTTGGCATTGATATAATGAGGTGTTGTCAATTTTTGTTGCAGTTGCGTTGGCAATTACTCAAGTGAATGCACAGAAGAGATGTAGTGTGGTGTTGAACCCAGAGGGGTGTGTCCTTTTTGACTGCAAAAAGGAATGCTTTCAGAAATACAACGGGAATGGACTTTGCTCAAGTTCTGGCGCCACTATTGGCCAATACATTTGCACCTGCGTTTATAATTGTACTTGATCAATTCCCTTTTGATGTAACTCTGATTCAAACATATACTTGACTTACGAACGAATATCAATGTTAGACCGTTGTTCTTTATTTATTAAAAGAATATTTCGTTCCTTTCTGGCATTTAACCTTTTAATTTTTTGTTTAACCATCCGTTATTTGAAGTCTAATGACGCGACTAATTCGAATTCGCCTAATGTAAGCTTACTACGGAATAAACCTGTATTTCTGCCGAAAAATTCTTCATTCCAGGGGCCAGCCTAGTGCTTTAGTTACAGAATTATCCGAACTAAGTAGCTTTAGATCAAAACCTGTAATATGTATTAATTTTTTACTAAATTAATATAAATAAATTTTGAACTTGGTAAATTAAATGGGTTAATAGAATATTAAAGTTGAACCATAAAGTTTAAATCCCGAATTCGCTTTTGCTTCATTCTGGGTTCAACTGAAACATGTGATTAAGGGCATATAATAAATCCTAACTATCTCACCACTGTCCCCAGGATGGTTAATGTCTTTAAATTAATGCTTCCTCTAAGACAAGGTACTAGTATCACAATTTACAGCAATGAACTATCCCAATGAACCATTCAATCATAATTCTCTTTCTATCCACAGTATCTTAAAGGAATATGAATTGATCCTTATTTGATACATTGCAAGATTATACCATAGTCATGATGAAAGATGGATGGACAGCCTTACATAGTCATGTATGTTTGTAGACTTGTTTTGAGGAAGAAAATATTTGCACAAGTCAGGGTGCTATGGCTGTTTCAGAGTATGTAGTCCGATTCAGTGACTTGGCTAGACATGCACCGGCCTAGGTTTCTACAGTTCGAGAGAGGGTACGTCGATTTATTGAGGGACTCATTCCCAGCATCAGAACTAGCGTGGCCCGGGAGTTAGAAATGGATATCTCATATCAGCAGGTTGTGAGTATTGCTGGGAGAGTGGAGGGCATGCTTGCTCGGGATAGGGAGGAGAAAGAGGCCAAGAGGTCTCGAGAGTTTGGCCATTATTCTAGTGCCCGTGCCCTAACTGCAGTTCGTCATGGTAGGGGCTATGTGAGTTGCCCCATTCGTTCAGCTCTTCCAGCCACCAGTGACATTCCAGCTCCTCCTAGACCTCAGGAGCCTTATTATGCACCGCCAGTATCTAGTGCGCCTCCCACACGAGGTGCTTTCAGTGGTCAGTCTAGCAGACCTGGCCCAAGTCAGCCACGGCTTCCACGTCCTCCCAGAGCTTGTTTTAAGTGTGGCGACACTCGTCATATGGTGAGGAATTGCCCCAGACTTAGGAGGGGTGCACCTCCACAGACTTCTCAGCCACAACGTGTCCACCAGATCCTCAAGCTATGATTACAGCACCAGCTGCCACCCCACCTGCTCAGCCAGCCCGAGGTGGAGGTCGGGGAGGTAGAGGTCACCCTAGAGGGGGAGGCCAGGCCAGATACTATGCCATTCCTGCTCGTACAGAGGCTGTTGCTTCCGATTCTGTCATTACAGGTATTGTTCCGGTGTCATAGGGATGCATTGGTTTCATTCGATCCAAGCTCCACTTATTCCTATGTGTCCTCTTATTTTGCCCAGCATTTGGGCGTATCTTGGGGTTCTTTGAGTTCCCTTGTTTATGTGTCTACTCCTGTAGGAGATTCTTTTGTTGTGGACCACGTCTATCGCTCGTGCTTGGTTACTCTTAGTGGTTTTGAGATCGGAGCCAATTTATTATTGCTCAGCATGCTAGATTTTGATATTATCTTGGGCATGGACAGGTAATCGCCCCATTATGCTATTCTTGATTGTCACGCCAAGACCGTGACACTGGCTATGCCAGGTTTACCGCGATTAGAGTGGAAGGTACATTAGATTACACTCCTGACAGAGTTATTTCATTTCTTAAAGCTCCACGAATGGTTGAGAAGGGGTGTGACTCGTATCTAGCCTATGTGAGATATATCAGTATTGATACCCCTATAGTTGATTCAGTCCCAGTAGTGAGGGATTTCCCTAATATGTTTCCAGCTGATCTTACGGGCATGCTGCCCGATCAAGATATTGATTTTGGCATTGATTTGTTGCCGGGCACTCAACCCATCTCTATTCCTCCTTATCGTATGGCCCCTCCTTAGTTGAAGGAGTTGAAGGAACAGTTACAGGAATTGCTTGATAAGGGCTTCATTCGGCCCAATGTGTCACCTTGGGGTGCTCCCGTCTTGTTTGTGAAGAAAAAGGATGGTTCTATACATATGTGCATTGATTATTTCCAGTTGAACAAAGTTACAGTTAAGAACCGATATCATTTGCCTCATATTGATGACCCGTTTGATCAGTTACAGGGTGCCTGAGTGTTTTCCAAGATTGATTTGCGTTCAGGTTATTACCAGTTGAAGATTTGGGAGCTAGATATCCCGAAGACTACTTTCAGGTTGCATTTGATGATCATTGTATTTCGGCCGTATCTTGATTCATTCGTCATTGTCTTCATTGAAGACATTCTGGTGTACTCCCGGCGTCGGGAAGATCATGAGCAGCACCTGAGGACTGTGCTTCAGACCTTGAGAGAAAAGAAATTATATGCATAGTTCTCAAAATGCGGGTTCTGGTTGGATTCCGTGGCATTTTTGGGTCACGTGGTGTCGACTCAAGGGATCAAGGTAGATTCGAAGAAAATGGAAGCGGTGCAGAGTTGGCCCATACCGTCCTCAGCTACAGAGATCTGTAGCTTCCTTGGTTTGGCGGGGTACTACCGTCGATTTGTTAAGGGATTCTCATCCATTGCAGCACCTATGACCAGGCTGACCCAGAAGGGTGCTCCGTTCTGGTGGACGGAGGAGTGTGAGGAAAGCTTTCAAAAGCTCAAGACAGCTTTGACTACTGCCCCAGTATTGGTATTTCCTTTAGGTTCGGGGTCTTATACATTTTATTGTGATGCGTCGTGAGTTGGCCACGACGCGGTGTTGATGCAGGACTGTAGGGTGATTGCCTACGCGTCCAGACAGCTGAAGGTGCATGAAAAGAACTATCCTATCCACAACCTCGAGTTAACTGCTCTTGTTCATGCCTTGAAGATTTGGAGGCATTATTTGTACGGTGTCCCTTGTGAGATCTACACCGGAGTTTGCAGCATCTGTTCAAGCAGAAAGATCTTAATTTGCGTCAGAGGAGGTGGTTAGAGCTACTTAAGGATGATGATATCACCATCTTGTACCACCCTGGAAAGGCCAATGTGGTGGCCGATGCTTTGAGTCGCCGGGCAGAGAGTTCGGGGAGTTTTGCATATCTACCAGCAACAGAGAGGCCCATGGTGATGGATGTTCAGGCCTTAGCGAGTCAGTTTGTGAGATTGGATATTTCTGAGCCGAGTTGAGTATTGGCTTATGTGGTCTCTCGGTCTTCTCTTTATGATCGTATCAGGGAGCGTCAGTATGATGACCCCCATCTACTTGTCCTTAAGGACACGGTTCAGCACGGTGATACTAAGGAGGTCACTATTGGAGAAGATAGCGCACTGAGGATGCAGGGCAGGCTATACGTGCCCAATGTAGATGGATTGCGTGAGTTGTTTCTCCAGGAGGCTCACAATTTGTGGTACTCCATTCATCCGAGTGCCGCCAAGATGTATCAGGACTTGAGGCAGCATTATTGGTGGTGTAGAATGAAGAAGGACATAATGGAATATGTGGCCTGGTGCCTAAATTGCCAGCAGGTGAAGTATGCGCATCAGCGACCGTGTGGATTGCTACAGAAGTTAGAGATTTCGGAGTGGAAATGGGAGTGGATCACTATGGATTTCGTTGTTGTACTCCAACGAACTCAGCGGAAGTTTGATGCAGTTTGGGTGATTGTGGATGGGTGGACCAAGTCAGCTCATTTCCTTCCTGTGATGACTACCCATTCTTCCGAGCAGCTGGCTCGAGTTTATATCCGCAAGATTGTCAGGCTTCATGGCGTGCCGGTATCTATCATCTCTGACCGGGGTACGCAGTTTACATCATGGGTCTGGAGGGACGTACAACATGAGTTGGGTACTCAGGTGGAGTTGAGTTCAGCATTTCACCCTCAGACGGATGGGCAGTCCGAGCGCACTATTCAGATTCTAGAGGATATGCTCCGTGGGTGTATGATGGAGTTTGGAGGTTCTTGGGATCAGTTCTTGCCACTAGCGGAGTTTGCCTTACAACAACAGTTATCTGTCCAACATTGAGATGGCACCGTATGAGGCTTTGTATGGTAGGCGGTGTCGGTCCCCAGTGGGTTGGTTCGAGCCGGGCGAGGCTAGATTATTGGGTATAGACTTGGTTTAGGATGCCTTAGAGAAGGTTAAGGTGATTCAGGATAGACTTCGCACAACCCAGTCCAGACAGAAGAGTTATGCAGACCGAAAGGGTTCGTGATGTTGCATTCATGGTTGGAGAGCGGGTCCTACTCCGTGCTTCGCCTATGAAAGGCGTTATGAAGTTCGGAAAGAGGGGCAAGCTGAGCCCAAGGTTTATTGGTCCCTTTAAGATGTTGCAGCGAGTTGGGGAGGTTGCTTATGAGCTTGCCTTACCTCCCAGCTTAGCAGGAGTTCATCCGGTATTTCGTATTTCGATGCGCCGGAGGTATCACGGGATCCATCTCATATGTTGGATTTCAGCTTAGTCCAGTTGAACAAGGATCTATCTTATATTGAGGAGCCAGTGGCTATTTTGGACAGGCAGGTTCGAAAGCTGAGGTCAAAGAACATTGCATCAGTAAAGGTTCAGTGGCGGGGTTAGTCGGTCGAGGAGGCGACTTGGGAGACCGAGCAGGATATGCAGCAGTCGTTATCCTCATCTTTTCACCACTTCAGGTATGTCTCTATGCTCGTTCGAGGACGAATGATTGTTTTAAGATGGGGAGGATGTAACGACCCGGCTGGTCGTTTTGAGAGTTAGAGCCCCGATCCCCTATTAACTGCTTTTCCCATATCTATTTCTACTATTGTGACTTACCAGGAGGTTTTGTTTTGGTTTGGAGTATTTTGGCACACTTAGTCCCTAAACAGAGGCTTAAGTCTTAGAATTTGGACC